AGGTTAATGGTGCTGTTAGTGTGTGTAATGTGATTCTGACTGTGAGTTTGGCTCAGTCTAAACACAGGGGAGCAGTGGTTCAGATTAAGTTAGACCTCCTTTACTGTCTTTGAGAGAGCCCTCACTGAAGTAATTTGTAATTACATGCATTTTTTTAATGAAGTCTCTCCCTCCCCATTACGGCTAACTTCCATTTCCCTGTGTCTGGCAGCTTCCGTCTCTATCTCACTCCCTCCCTATAATCCAAATTTGCTCCCTCCATCTTTCACTACATCACTCCTCTGCCCCCCATTTAGCTCTGCTTTTATTTCACTTCTGATGTAAAAAAGCCTTTAATTCTCTATTAAAATTGTCTTTCTACAGTCCGGACCAGATGTTTAAATAAAGGATCTTGAAAGACACAAAACCTTTTTATTACTGTGTGATATTAAATCCCACTAAACCATTGCGGTTTGGATGAACAGAATAATTTCTATTTGCTTGAAGGCAGACTAATGAGTAAAAGATAAAATAGCGGAGCATTTTTTACAAGCTTCTGAAAATAATGTGCCGCTATTATGGCCATTTTCTCCTGACACAACAGATAAATTGAGGTCGGTAGTTTGCTTTCCTAAGTATAAGGCTTTACTTTATTGTCCTTATGACCATTTCATAACTTCTCTGGTGTTATTATTTTGGTCATTGCTCATTTGGAATTAATTTACACCAAAGTTTGAACTTCTTAGTTGCTTCTGAAGATGTTTGTTTAATTTGTCTATTTTCTGCAGTGCACAAGTCCCCACCACAGGACATGCATAGTCTTTGTCACTGATTGCATTTCTAAGTGGTAATCTGGGTTTTGCTGTAATATGCAAGACAGTTTCACTCCCACCTCATCAAATGCTGACGCTTGGTCAAGACCCTGTCGAGTCAGATACTGAAAGGATGGAGGTAGCCCACTTGTCATTATTTGATGCGCAGGGTGCATGACACATTGTGGCAGGAACTTGTGAAAGTTTTTCATAAACTGCAAAATAAAAAAGTAGCACTAACCCATCCCTAACCCTAAAGCATACACTCCTAAAGCTACCAATGATAACATTGTTGCTAAAATGTCTTTAAAAGTTTGTTGAGATTCATATACTGTATGACATGAGCTGTATCCCCTACATACCAGTATGTGATTCGCTAGTCAGTGTTTGAAGAGATGGGAGTGACCATGTGTGGGCTTTGGGAAAAATTGCTTCTTCCTCTATGAGTGGCTTTTCAGTCCTAGTTTTAATGTGGATGATTACTCTCACTTACCCACTACTACTTTTTCCACATTGATTTTCTGATTTTGCTCTAAAGCACATCTATCATTGGGACACAGAACCCACTTCTTTGACAAACCGTGTGTTGGCTGGACATTCCCATCATGCATTTCATTACTTAAACTTTTCACCTAAGGCCTCTAAAATAGAGGGTTTGGCAGCCTAGTGGTTAGGGCATAAAGCTTGGAATCCTGAGGTTCTGAGTTCAAGCCCAACTCCCACAGACTGCCACTCTGGGCTCCTGAGCAAAACCCTGAACCCCACACTGCTCCCCGGGCGCCGCACAATGGCAGCCCACTGCTCCCCAAGGGGATGGGTTGCAGAGAATTCATTTCATTGCAGAGAATTCATTTCATTGATCTGTACTTGTGACAGTGGAATGAAAATGAAGTTGAATTATATTCTATTCTAAAAAAATGCAACCAAGAATGAACCAGAATTGTTGTGGTTTACAATGTCTTATGTTTTTATCGACAGCGGTTCATTTCTCAAAAGATATTTCAATCATTATTTTGTCTTTTAAAAATCAAGTAAAAATGTGCTAATCAAACAACATGAGATGTCTGCTTCAAGGCTGAACAATAATTGAAGGTATTGTGACACCTTCTAAAGTATATTTTCCAATTGCTTTCTCTTTCCTACTGCCCCACCTTTGTCCATCTTTATTCTCCTGATTTTACACCCAGGTACGCATCCAAACACACACTCACGTGTGGAGAAAGGGCAGAAGAAATGAGTGGACAGCAGCTGAGCGTCCGTGTTTAAATAGTGTCTGTGATCTGTGCGAAGATAGATAGAGAATGAAGACAGAGCGACCTGCCAGTGCAGCAGGTGTTTTGCTGGCTGACCGGGTGGTGCTTTGTGCCACAGCTCAGCTTCTATTCTTTACTCCATCCAGGTGTGTGGGCTGCTGTTTGCAGGCTCCTAACTGTGACGATCTGTGCATGTGTTTCCAGTCACTGGGGCGCGGGCTGAAGACACAATACAGCTGCTTACTATCCCCACTGTGTCTGCTTATAGCAGTGGTGGGTGGTGTTAGAAAACGACAGCGATGTTTGAAAGCTGAGACAATCCCCTTTACCCGAGGTTTACTAAGCTTCTGTCTGCGCAGATTTAAAATTATCCGCCCAGTGGGTGGTGATATTTTTCCCCTACAAAAACACCCAAACACTTTGGACTTTTTCCAATTCTAAAATCTAACACCCAGAAACATCAATATATTTTATTAAAACAAGCTTTGCAAAAAATTACACTCGGTCCTTAAGATCTGTAAAGTGTGACACCTATTGGTATTCCTACCCCCTTACATTGATACTCCTAACTTAAGTTCAGTTAATCGATTCTTCAAAATACACCTATATTGTAAATAAATATTACTGGTTTTCTATTTTATTTCAGTTTAACTACCTATGTTTTCTGCACGCTTTGAAATTTGATTGGATGGATGGATGGATGGATGGATGGATGGATGGATGGATGGATGGATGGATGGATGGATGGATGGATGGATGGATGGATGGATGGATGGATGGATGGATGGATGGATGGATGGAAACTGGTCAGAGGCAGTAAAAGCATAAAATCTAGAAGGGAACATATCTTTTAAGCAGGAAAGCAAGACTGAAAATACAGAAAAATTATGAAAGAATAGTGAGGGTTATGACTTTTTTAGCATGGCTAGTCAAATTTAATCCATGACAAAACTCTCATGGGAACGATGGGGGGTGGCAGTTATGAATGAAGAAACAAAACAAAGAAAATGGAAAATAATGCATTATTTTTCTTTCATTTAAAACACAGGCTCTACTTTGTGTTGGTCTGTCACATAAATTCCCAATAAATAAATTGAGCTTTTTCCTGTAATTTGACACTGGAACTGTACAGAAACTATGAATGCTGTTCCAAGTCTCTTCATATGTCCCACAGATGTAGCAACAACAGAGCCCTTGCTTGTCATAAAATCTCTCTGTTTCTACGAATGGCAGGATGTTCCCATTGAAGAGGAACCTAACAAATTGCAGAAATGAGGGCTTTCTCTGTTAGCGTGACAGGAAGTCACACTCAGCACTGTTGTTTTTTCCTACAAAGGTCTTCATTTGTGAGTGTGTCTATGTGTGCATATGTTTGTGACCATGTTAACCATTTTATTATCCGGGGCTGTGAGAAAGCAAGTCTGTAAATAAATCACAACCCAGAAGAGCAAGATTGGGCACAATGCTTAAGCAAAGAGAGCCCTTAAATGTGTTCTAAGAGGGTGGAAAAATAAAAACATGTAAAATAAACATTTAAAGGAATTTTCCCAAAGCTTGCAAATATAGATTATGACTAAATAACCGTGTGACCTTCTGGAAGTTATTAAAATATACAGTATTAGAGCCAATCACAACTCATTTTAGTTTAGTTGACTCTGTCATGATTACATGTCAGACAAAAACCTTAATTCATGAGTTGTTTAAGCAGAAAGTTCTCATGGTAATGGATCAACATTTGGTAAATTCAAATATCACATGAGAGACTCACTCATTTTTAATCCAGTTCTAACTGACCAATTTTACAAAAATGTTCTTATCAGGTAATGAAGTTAAAGGTGCCTCTTTAAATCATGGCGACACATCAAAGCCTTTAAATTTATAGACAAAAACAATGTGTCTTCACACAAAAGAAAACAATGTAAGAAAAAAATGAAATCAGAAATTGAAGTCGCCTGTCACAAAAATAATTTAAGTCTGAATTTAAGTTTTCTGAATTTCATTCAGTTTGTTTCAGTTAAAAAATGTTAGATTTGGTTCATTTCAATTTAGTTCACCTCAGTTCAGCTGAATTAAATTCTATTCAATACAACTGAGTCCAGTCAAGTTAATCATATTTCAGTTCATTTCTTTTGTGATTTATTTTAGTCCCATTCAGTTCAGCTCAGGTCAGTTCAGTCATTTGATTTAGTTTTATTGCACAAGCTATAAACTCTGAACAAGCTATAGTGATTATTTTAAAGTCTTCAATTCAACAAAATAGTCAGAAATAGATGTTATACCACAAGCTCCTGTTTAGGTTCAGTCATTCACAGTGCCAGCTGGTGGATGGTTCACTATCTAAGGAAGCTGAGCCACTTCTATTTGACCATTGATTCTGCAATATTTGCTCCCCCTGAAGAACATTTCATTATCATGCAATCAGTTCTCTCCTATTTAATATCTTCAATTTGTAAATTTGCAAAAAATATAATTCAACACAAGTTGGTTAAAAGTCATGCATACGGCAATGCTGAAATGTAGGATGACTGATCTACCTGTTGTTTATTTGCTGAAGTTTTTCTTTGACTTTCAGCTACACTTCATAACCTTTATATCAGTTTTATGCCTTTGACCACTTCCTTTGTCCTCCAAACAAGAATGCTAAAAAAGCTGATGATGATTTTAATGGTTACATTAATATTTTAATGGGCAGCCCTTGAAGCCTCCAATAAGTACAAAAAGTATTTAGTTGAGCAGCAGATGGGTGAAACCTGTCAAACATTGTAGATGGATGCAGCCTCTAAGCAGATATTCTGGTGTGAGTCACTAAAACCAAGAAAACAAATGTATGCCATATTTAGTAAATCATCTTGTCTGATAAAATATGTGGTGTTTAGAAAAAGCTGGTGGATTTGAGTGGAGGTTCTCTGGTTGGTTTGATCCTTTCTTATCTAACCTCTCTCTATTTTGCCCTCAGTTGACCTTCTTGCCAAACAGAACCTTGGCCAGCCAGAGGACCACGAAGCTACCAGCCGCAGAAGCAGTCCACCATATCATGACCTTCGACCCCAACAACAGCAACTTCCTTTATGTCATGACCTCTCACCATGTAAGCACACAGCCGCAGACAATTTTTCAGTCGGTAGATGTTTACTGCTTGTCTTCACAGATGTCATCATGGAGAAAAACCACAGGAACCACATTCAGAATACATCTGCTAACATCCAGTGGAGGCTCATTGCTCCCATCTAGCAAAACATGGTTAGATTTAGTATGATGCTCTACGCTCCTTTAGACTTCAGAGCTACAAGGAGGTTTCATAACTGCAGCACGTATGTCTGCATGTGGTTGCACTTTCAGCATTTTTCTCACCGGTGTACCTGATTGTTTTTTGCACAGATATGAAATCACGATGTTTCCTGCGACAGACACATTTTAAAATGCACACTGATGAGCTTATGCTTTTTTAGACATGCATGACAATTTGCTGCGAAGATAAATGCTGCACTATCCACAACTTTCTGCTGTTAAGTTGAAATCTTAAACATCTTACCTTAAAATTAAGCACTTTTAAAATTAAAAGTTCAAAAAATAAAAGAAACGCAAAGCAAGTATATTTGTAATTCGTGTTTCAGTAATAGGTCAGTTCATAGTGCTTCACCTGCAAAAAATAAAAAAGGGAAAATATAGAAAAAAGTACAGTGCAGCTAGAGGAACAGTAAAGCCAGGAAAAGGAAAGTTGGACAACTCACTCAAGATAATGTTTATTTAGCTGACAGTGTGAATACAACAGTCCCACTTCTATGATTTTAGCTTTTTTTCAAATGCACCATATAACAACAACAAGGGAACACATCTAAAATCAATAAAAATTTAGGAATAACAAAAACAAAAGTATCAGACTGCCAATAAAACCAAGGGATGAAACTGGTTTTAAAGGCATTTTAAGTAGGTAAATGGAGGACATTCCTAAACAGTTGAAACAGAAATGAAGGCAAAATTAAATGTTAAATCCTGATTTAAAATAACTCAGGGTATTTATTGTAGTCGTCTATGAGCCTGTGTAAGGACTTTAAAACTGAGATGATGTGCTCTACTTTGTTAGTTCTAGTGAGGTTAAAGCAGATATGGGGGACCTGGAGTCAACAGGTCATCTCTAATGCTGAATCCCAAACCGCTCCATAACCATTAACTCTTAACTATCAAGTCTCACTCGCAATAAAGTCACACTCACAGCTGTGGAAGGCGCCTTGATTAAAGGTGGGGAGGGGTGTAAACGAGAATGGAACAGCCTCTTTCCTCCAATGGAAAAAGAAAGCAATCGTTGCTACGGCAACAAAGTGACGCCCCATGCACATAGCTGTAGCTCTATAGGTTAACATAACATTAAACATAAGCCCTTTTCTTAAAACAAATGTATACGGTCAAATAAAACTGTTCAAAGAAACCTAACTTGTGATTTTTCGTCGGTGTGATAAAGATGCAGCAAACAGGTGTAATTTACATTTAAACGCACACGTTTCCTGCGCCATCAAGTTGCTGTTACACCTGCTGCCAAGTTCTAGCAGGCTGCACTTAACACAGACTCGCTATTTAAGGGCTGAATTGTCCATTTTCCCTACCCACTACGTGGTATTGGATGGCACTTAATGTGGTGGACCCGCCGTGGGAACATGCAAACTGAGGGTTAGTGCGCATGAGTTAGTGCTTTGGGGCCATTTTTGGTTTGGGCATATATTATGTATTTTTTTTCTGCCCAGCCACTGAACCAGGTGAGTCCAATCTGGTTTAACCTGCGCAGATTGGACTCACCTGGTGCAGTAGCCGGTCAGAACAAATACATGACATAGAGATGACTTGTTGGCTCCAGATCCCCCATCAATAGGATGAGGGCACCACTCCTCAGCAGTTTCCAGCTGAAGTAACTCCTGTTCACCCTTGATCACAACTCCTTTGGTTGTAAAATTATTACTAGATGAGGATTATCTTATCACATCCCGTTATTTATTTATTGTACACATTTCACTAGTGCTTAATATGTGCTAAATCACCTGGTGATATTATAGAGCTGTTTGTCATCATTATATAGTCATTTATTTAATTTATTTTAACCTAAGCTTGGGTGAGTATATAGGTATTTAATTGCTAGGGCCCTATGATCAAACCTTGGAGAACAGCACATGTGATTTTTGTGGTCTCTGATGTAAAGTTGTTTATTGACACAAATAATTCCTTGAAGTCGAACTTCAACCAGTCAAGTGTAAACCAGGTACATTGCTCTGTGTAACAAATTCAAATTAATTCAAAAACATCTTATCGGTCATAATGGGAAAGTCAACTTTGCACATAAAGGTAGAGCCTTTAGCAAATTTTCTTAGATGTTAATAGCGGTGGGCAGAAAGATCTCCTGTACCGGTCTCTCTAAATGCAATTCTGGAATAAAAATGCTTTACGACAGTCTTAAAGAAGAGGATTATTAATGTTATGCATTATATGAAAAAAATATTCTTTATATAACCTACAATGCACAATTTGTTGGATAAGGCTATAAAATTAAATGGGGGAAACAGTTTTGCAGGAAGGGATTCATGTTAATAATGACAAAATAATGTTTGTTTTAAGCGTTTTACCCTAAATAACTAAGGCCTAAACTTGTTGTATTTCACAGCAGTGTACATGCTATTTTTAATTTAACAAAGTGTCTAATCCATGGGGGATGCCAGAAAAAAACTTTTTTTTTTTTCCAGAGGCCACACGACATCATTAAATTGCTTGTTATGTCCGCCCAGCAGTCCAAATCCCACAGATGACCTAATTACAAAGATTAAGCAACAGAGGAAAAGAAGCAAATCCCAACTGCTGACAAGCCACAGCCAGCAGATGTTGCATTTATGCATTCAGTATCATATTAACCGACTGTCAGAGCTGTGACAGTTATCTGCTGTTATTTATTTCATATGTAGGACTCTTACCAAATTTTATATTTCTTTAAAAAAAACATTAAATTGTCTTAAAATTGTTAACTTGGTTGTACTTTGATGCTACTTTGGTGCAGATGCTGCGAGTGAAAGTGGCAGAATGTGATCTGTGGACGAGTTGCACTGACTGTTTGGGCGCTGGAGACGCCTACTGTGGCTGGTGCACCCTGGAGAACAGGTGAGAACAACAACTTTTCAGGGACTTCAAAGGCCCTCTTCTTGCTTGTTATCTGTTCATCTCAGCATCTTCCTTTCTTCCAGTAAAACATGATTCAATCAAATAATCATATGCTTTGGTGTCACACTCATGCCACGAGGTTGTTGATGTTATCAGCAAGTGGAGTTTGACTGTGGGAAGATTCACTTCCTGTCTTTTTTTAGGATGCAAGATCAGCTACGGCTTTTTACAAAATATAATCTCACATAGTTGTTGTTTTTGTACATAAATTGGAAAACTGATACCTCTGTGGAAACGCCTCTGCTCCCTGCTTTGATACTTGAGGATTAGTGAAAATCACTGGGGCTCTTTTCCCTGTTTTGGGATTTGTCACTCTCAGTTTGAAAGTTGGTTGGTTGGTTGAGTCTTGGCACCAACAGAGTGGGTTTTCGGTTTGAGAAACTATCCTTGGATGACGATTGATCTGCTTTTCACTGAGCCTTTGACTTGGAGGAAACATCATTGTTTGGAGAGCTCCCCTGGCTCTCGGTCAGTCTGATGGGAAGAGTGACAGGCAGGAAGAGCCCAGTGAGGAGTCACTTGGCTGAAGTGGAGCTGTGAGCTGGTGAAAGCACACAGTGATTAATGTGGCTGTGTCAGGATGGGATGTCTGGACCCACATCAGAAAATGGGTGTTGTTGAGCTACGTTTGTTTGGGTCTGGGTGTGTATTAGTTTGGTCCGGTGATAAAAGCAAATAGCCAGAGGCCATTCAGATACAGAAGGGTGGGAAATGTAGAGTTCTTACGTGGTCAGTCTCTCTCACTGTCAGTGGCTATTACTGATATAACAGATAGGGCTGAATGCCCAGGGTAGCATGTATGTACAGCCAATTGTGAACTTAAACACAGTTTACACAGTTTTCTTTCCTGCGATCTGCTCAAAATACTATATTTATCAGGTTTAATTTGGCATGAATAAGGAAATGAAAGTTCTGAGAAATCTTTGTAATGATAAGCTTTATTTCATATCCTATTCTCTAAATAATGAGTTCATCCACAGCTAACCTTTACAGTTTCGAATAACAACCAGCATCTTTACCAGAGTGACAGCTCCAGTACAATTGCTGGAGTGCTGTTGGGCAGAGAACTTTGATTTATAGAATTCAAATAAACTTTTTTTTATGAATTAATGCCCTACTTTATAAAAAAAAGTGTCTCAAAAATGTTTTGGGAATAGCAGATCTAATTCAACACATTATGTTGTTTAAAATAGCAGACAGATAAGCTAACACAATTTAAAATAAAGGAAAGCTTTTAGACAAACGAGGTTCCCATCCAAAAGCCAACACATCCTACTTTGGCTTGATTTCTAAAAATGTACCCATCGGTTACCGCTGCTCAAGTATATTTAAATTCACAGGCATCTGATATAAAAAGTTACACAGAACCTACATAATTGCCTTATAATGCCACGGCAATGCCGGACCTACATTTCAAGTCATGTTAACTTAAATGTTGGAAAATGCCATTTTGCACATTTAGCACAAAATTATTGCATCAACGCAATAAGTTTCGCCATCGTCATTGCTGACAAAAATAACACTGAACCCTTGTAGAGAATTGACACTTCTTATATTTCAGAGAGCTTTAACCATATTTCACCATAGAATACTGCATATATACTTTTTTCAGATTACACATGAATAGGGACACAAAACACTAGAAAAGGTTGTTCACAGCACCTACTGTTTCTCCACTCTTTTCTTATCTTTAGAAATTCATAGCAATGTTTTCCTCTAAGCAAACATAAATGACTAAGGAACTGAGTGGTTTCATGTCAGGGGAATCCTGACTGCACTGATTATCTCTAAGATATCGAAAGTTATTCCACCAGTGCAAGATTGTTCTATTCTATCCAGAGATGGTTTAGAACATTAAAATTAAAATCACAAAGAAAAGGTGAAAGGAGTTTGAGCTCAGCAGAAGTAGGGACTCGCCCAGAGCTCCATTTAACTGAGACCCGCCACTGCTGGCTGTTATCTCCCTGTCTCCTCTCTTTATTTATCTATCTGTTGTCTCTTTATTCCGCTTTCTTTCTCGCTTCACTGCATTTTTTTTTACTCTAGAGACTCTCCCTGCCCTCCGCCTTCTATTTTTTAATTCATTGTCCTTATACTCCAGTAGCTTTGAAAATTTTAGCCATCTATCTCTCAGCCTGCTGCCCTGTCTCCTTAGTTCTTGTCTTCTCCTCCCCTCCGTGCCCCTGTCCCCTTTCCTATCCCTCTACAAAGGAGCGTTGATTGTGCTGATGGTAGTGGGAGGGTGCGAGCACACTGGTTCTTTTTACAAGGAAATGTCAAAGTGTGTAAGCCTGCGTGCAAGTGTCAGCCTGAGTGTGTGTCTTTCTCTGGCTTTCAGAGGCCAGGGAGCTGATGTCATGAGTGTTTGTGCGTTTGATGCACTGTTTGGCCAGGCCTGCCGGCCACTGGGTTGGCTCTGTGGTTTCGAGGCCTGGGGGATGAAGTGTGGGGGTGGATCATCTCCTTCATCACCTCACTGTCTGATACAACTGCAGACAGTGTGAAAAAAAAGAAACAGTTCTCAAAATCTGTGAAGCCACCACTGTCCCTTTGAGGGGCCAGTTGGATTATACTCATGGCTCTGACGTCTCTCAGTATGTTTGCAGGAGGATGGTACATGAAAACATATCTGTTCACTCTTTTGAGGCGGCATTGTTGTCAAAAAGATGGAGCTACTTTCTGTAGTAGAGATAAAACCCAGTCCTTGATCACTGCTTTCATGCTGGCACTGGTTTAATCTGCCACATGTCACAGGAAAGCACTTAAACATCTTTATTTGAAGCAAATTATGCATGACATGCCTTCTTTGCTATTCACAAATTATCATGCTTATCTGCATGTTCTTATCTCCCACTAACTTGGTGTGTGTTTGGGTGCGTTTGTGTCGGCGTGAGCACTTCAGAAACTCATATGTTCTGCTGCTGTTTAACAGCCTCACTGGCTTCCCACCTCCTCAGACACTCTGGGGGGTGATGAGTTTTCACAGGTCATATTTTAGCTGAAAATGTTGACTCTGTTTATTTTAAGGGAGCTTTTGTGAAAAGCTTTTTTAAAGTCTGGCAGAGTGTGGAGAGGAAGAGGAGGAGTGTTTGCATGTCAGAACTGTATTTTCATCGCCGTTTGTATTAGTGTTTCACGGGAAAGTGAGCTACTTTGAATTAATTTCTTCACAGTGCAGTGTTTGAGAAAATTGCTGTTTGAATTAACAGGAGAGGTGTGAATACATTTTAGGAAAGAAAAAAATGCTATGAGTGAGTTTGTTGTTTTCATTCTCTAACAGAGGGATAGCTATAAGTTATGTACTTCAATAATCAGTTTTTTATTGGAAAATGGCTTAGAGAGAGCTATTGTTTGAAGAAAGCTTTAAGGCTTGTAGTTTGCCACATATAACAATCGGGAAACAGCAAACATGTAAGGCAATTTGGTCAGACGTAAATAACAATGAACAATACTCCATGCATGGTGGAACCTAGGCAGTAAAAAAATAATAAAAGATGACACTAAACCCTTGCCAATTCCTCACTAAATAAAAGGGATGGTTGTTCTCCCCTATAGATTTACCGGTAGTAGAATTATTGGTCAAATATGTATCGTGAGGCTGAAAGACCGCAGGATGCTGTCGGTCAGCCTCTATGAAAAATCCCTAATGAGGTTTGAGCCTCAGTTTATTGAGGTAACCAGTAAGCAAGTAGAGTCCTGATTGGATAACATGCCAAAATATGTCTCTGCCAGTGAGGCTAAACCTCTTAGGGGCTCAGTGGAGCAGGGGAGGGTTGTAAAGCTGGCTGCTCAATGCTGATTGGCAAGCAAATTTAAGGATTTTTGACTGACAGTGAGGAGGTCTGTATTTACATGTGTTATGTGTTTCAACATTTGTTAATGCAGTATGTGATACCATGCAGTCGTAGCACACCAACCTTGCTGTGAAACATGGTGGAAGTAGAATCATGCTGTGGGGATGCTTTTCTTCAGCAGAAACAGGAAAAGTGGTTAGATCTGATGAGCAGGAGTAGAAGCAGTTTTTTAACAGTTTTTGAAACTAGTCAAAGTTTGTTTATCAGACTTTATATTGTTTAATATCTGTATCAGATAAGTAAATTAGTTTTAATTAATTTCTCCACAGTGCAGCATTTACGTACACTTCTGCTTGAATTACCAATGTTTAAATACATTAATTAAATAATTGAAAATAATGAAAAGAAAGACTTTCCCCCTTTCAGTTTGATGGCTATTTTTCCATTATGATATATAATCATAATGGAATGTTTGGATGTTTGCTTTATTTTTCTATAATTTGAGATATTCAGTAATCGAAATATAAAACTTTGACTTAACTGCATGATGCTAAATATATTGGGCTGGAATCAGGGAAGACTGTATCAGTGGTTAGCACTGTCAGTAAAAATAAAAATACCGGTGGTGGCCTGGGGACTTTCCTGGTCAAGTTTACATGTTCTGCCCGCAACTTTGTGGGTGTTTTATGGCTTCTCTCCACATCTAAAAACATGACAATGAGTTTATTGCTGATCGTAAATTAGCAGTAGGTGTGAATAGAAACAAAAATAGTAGTCTACTTTTCTGTTTGATCTGAACTGAATGTACCCAACCCCTGCGAGGCTCTCAGATTCAAAGCATCTTTAGTGCGGATGAAGGAAAATAACAGTTCTTGCAAAGCCTTTTTTCCTGTACTTAGCTACTGTAGATCATGATTTACCACATTTTGTAGGATTACTACACTGGACCACTCAGCAAGGGTCCACATTTTTGACCAATAAGCCGAACAATCTGAAGGAGCATTTTTCAGGAAGAGGATATTAAAGGTACAGGTGGTAAAAGTCTTCGAATGTCATGGACAAACTTTTTACTTAACAGTTAAATCTGTGGAAGCAATCCCTCTCCTACTTACAGTACATCAAATTCCCTAAATGATTCTGTTTCCTGTTCTATGACCATTAGAGTGACACCTTGTGTGGTCATCTGCACCTGCAGCCCATCTATTTTAAAGTTTGCCGTGCTTTGTTCAGTTTCACCCTACTTTAGTTTGCACAAGTAGATAGGAGAACTACTGTCCTATTATTATCATACTAAACCAGTCTAATTCAATGTACCCACAGAGCAGCTATAAATAGCACAAGTCCAATACACTCAAACTCAGCTGGTTGGACAATGCCTGTTGGAAAATGATTATACAAACAGGTCCACTCAATTATAGGGAGGCATTGCTTCTGCATCAATTTCTTGTACTGATAGGGGCTCTTTGATGTTTTTAAGGGTTTAACCTGTTGGGAAACACTTGATTCATATGGTGGAAAATGAAAACAATTTAGGAGCTAAATTAAAGTTTTTCACTGTATATTTTTGCACTGTAACGCCTTTCTTTTCCCTTCCACAATTCCAATACTTAAAGGTAAATTTGCATTTAACACTGTCTGGTTGCAAGTATGTCTAGGCTGCAACATTGCGACCTGGGGAAGCTTAAAAAGTGCCATGATTTCATTGAGTTGTTGGTCTTGGCATTTTGTTTTCCTCCTGAGTAAGCATGTGACTCAGGATTATAGAAAGACATTATGCTTTTCAGTTTGAGCGGCGAAATATATCTGATTTAATGACAGCATTGCAGTGTAATTGTGCAAAATAGCTCATTTTAAAGGACTGCTTGAGAGCAATTTGTGGTTGGTTTTTATATTTCTAATACCAGTAATGATTTTAGACAGTTGGATGGACTCTTACAGGCTTTGATGGCCTTTATTTAGTTTTAGTTGGATACTTTAACTTATAGCAGTGGGTAGATACATCATGATGAGGGTGAATAAATAGTGGAGTGAGGCAAATGTAGCTTCCTTGCAACCAATCTCATTGTTTTAATAGTCTAAATCAATAAAACATTGTAAAAACATTCACTTGTGACATGGCGGAGCTCTAGTTTTAATGGGCTTGAAGGCTTTACTCTGTCACAGCTCACATAAACATTGTATAAATTAAGGTTGTTTTATATATGTCATCCTAAAAGTACTGTAGTTGACTTACTGCAATGGTCCAAGATTGAACCAGTGGGTTTTGCAGCTATCCAAATATTTTGCCCTATCAGTGGTGTCTGCCCTCTTAAATTGTCTTAACAGCATTCCTATTATCCAAAGCAAACAATGATTATCATCCCTTTGTGCATTTAAATCCACTTTATTGGGACCTTTGAGAATGTGTTCAGAGTTTATGAGTTTGTTTGTGTCTGGCTGGTTTTATTTCTTTTTTTCAGATTGCTTTCAGAGCCTTCGTTTTTATTTTTAGCTCGGTAGCTGACCTCTTATACCCTCCAGGTCCCTAAGTGCCATTGGGACTGAGATTTTGAACATCTTCTTTCCTCAAAACACAAATCCCCGCACTTAGAGTCACACAGATACACACTTTACTTTAAAACAACCTCTAAAGTGTGAAAGGAAAGTAGGATGCGCCAAACTCATTATGTGGCATGTAAGGAGGACATGGGGCCCTCTTTAGGTTCTTCCTTTCTCTGAGGTCACTTTGTCCTTTCAGTCAGAGCTGCAGATGAACTAAGCTCTCTGCCAACATTGATGTTCATTAGTGAAACACAAGTCAAAGTGTGACGCCACCTCGCTCGTTGAATGCCCTTTTACAAGCTTTCCTGTACCAGAGGTTCATTATATTCACAAACTTACACACTATCCCCTTTATATGTGTCCTTCAGAAAAACACACAGACTCATGGATGCACTGTTGCTTCATGCAGATTAAGTCCCAGGCTGGTAGTTTTTGTTATTCTGATATCTGTGACTCGTCCCTGATCTTGGCGCCTGCCGGATTGGTTACCATAGCAATATGTGTGACCTAGAGTCAAGTGGTCTCCTGTGCCGAGCCAGGCAAACTGACAGGCGAGGTCTGAATGTGACATTAGGAGACCAGAGCACCTCATAAATCTGTGGGAAGCAGACCGTGAAACCCAACGGTGAGACTTTGACAAGTTCTAGAATGAAAAAGAAACTGAAAAGTTGGTGCTCTCCCCACATAGGATGGAAAGTTGACCTTAAAGCTCTGCATTCACACATGCACGACTAAATTACAAGATGCCATGATGACAAGCAATTATTAGATGTGATCATAACGTCAAACGGAACATGGTGAATTTTTTTTTTTTACTAAAGTGCATTTTAAAGCCTTTTTAACTGTGTTTTCTCCAATAAAAACAAAAACAAAAATCTCACCAACTTTGCTTACACTGCCATATTAAAACTAGAATCTACGATAAGTTTATTGGACTATGTTCTCTTAACAAAAAATGCATTCAATGTTTAGTGGGAAAAAAATCCCAAAACATCACATATTCAAATAATAATTTGAAGTGTGGTGAGCTTCAGAAGTCATCTACGTAGTTATTATCTGCCCACATATCAAACAGATAACGTCTGTGGGTAACTTAATCTCACTATAGAACCAGCTGCTCTAATTTGGCTTTAGAGCGTTTAAAAAAAATATATTACTGAACAAACAGTATTTGAAATGTGTCTCCATACCAACACAACCGATGCAAACTATAGCTTCATCTCCTTAGCAGGATATCAAGGACTGAAGACGGATAATGATCCCGTCATTTAACTCAGGTTTGTGGAAGCAGGGAAACACCTAAAATATGCAGAGTTGTGAGCCCAAAGGAGCAGGTTGACCTATGTCAGGAGCTGCAAAGGTCCACTAATAATTAAGTTGCAAAATCAAACTTTTTGGTTAACATTTAAAATGTTGTTGTTATGGAACAGACCATCTGCACAGTAAGAAATGGTGGTGGCAGCATCTTGTTGTGGGGAGAGGAGAGTCAGCTGGAGATATAAGGAAAATTGAGCTAAATCCTAAAAGAAAATGTAGAAGAGGCAAGACTATGATTATGGCAATGGGTTGCTTTTCATCAGGACTGCACCTCTAACATACAAACATAGCAATAATAAAATGAAAGCATTTTTTTTAAGAATGTTTTTGAATTCTAGAAATAAATCCATCTTACAGTCTGTGGTGAAAGCTGAATATCACTGTCCACAGATGCTTAGTGTAACTGAGGTTCAGCTATCTTTTAACAGTCTTTAGATGTGCCAATCTGGTAGAGACCTACCCTTGCAGAACAGATTGGTCTACAAATATAATAACATTGTTTGATGAAAAATGAAATCTATGCATCATTTTCTAAAAGCTTGAAATATGTTGGATGTAATAAATAATGCAATAAAGTTTGTGGGTTGGAATACCTTTGCAAAGTGTGGTGAAATGTGACGTGATAAGTCGATATGTATATGAATTATATTTTGTTACTTTATATGTAGATGCAGCATCCAAAACGAGTGTGCCCGAGGTTTGATGCCACGCTCCTGGATCAGCATTGGTCAAGGCCCCCAGCAGTGTCCCTCCATCACCCTGACTCCCTCAGAGATCAGCATCTCTGCAAAAATCGAGGTACGGTTATCTCTCATCACCCTGCTGTTACCATCACCTGTCATAAACGAAACAGTCATGCCTGCTGATCTTTATAAAGGCATGGCAATAATGGGGTCACCGTATTTAAAGCTGATTTTTTTTTCCCTACACACTTTTATAATCTGACACCACATCTCTATTATTATAACCCAGTCGGTAAGTTCAGGCAACTGCTGTTTTATGCCGCAGCCCCCCTGTAATACCACCTCCTCTTTTTCACTACAGTTGACATTCATCTGCTTGTTTAGCTTTGTGATTTACAACAGTACTGCCTTTGTTCACGGTCACCACTCTAATAGCACCTCAGTCTAAATGCACTTCGTTAAACAGAATCACATGTAAGCCCTTTGTGCTTAGATAAGTGATACACAGCTGTTAAACAAACACACAGATGCCAAGTGTATATTTAAAGCTCCGTTTTACCCTCTGAGTTCTTTGAATGCTCTCCATAATTAAAGATAAAGCTTTGTTTTTACTTTTTTTTAAACAGAAACATGTAACTGATGGTGCACTGGAAGCAGCGCTGCATGTTCAGCTATATAGCTGGGCTATGAAGGGATAAACCACTGTAATGAAATGTGCCAGCTTCTAATCTAAGGTGGCTTGAATTTCTGAGTAATTTGAAAATAGTATAGTATCCGCAGTGGTGCCTTGAAATACTGAGTTTTTGTGATGTGATGGAGGGAAAAAAATCCAGTTTTCCCCCATATATTTAAAATGACATGTGTACCAAGTGTTTCTAATGAAAACCCAAAATTAGGGTTGGTAAGTGTGTTGTATATATAAAAAAAAAACTCAATGTGTCACAGGTTCATGGCTGCATCAAGCTTTAAAAAAAAAAAAAAAAAAAAAAAAAAAAATATATATATATATATATATATATATATAAATATATATATATAAATATATATATATATATATATATATTTATATATATATATAAATATGTATATATATATATATTTTTTTTTTAAACAGAACTGAGGTTTTGTTTTGAAGTTATCTCCATCAGAACCAGACTTATCCTCAGCTTCTTTCTGTCTTATTCAGCTACCAGTACAGAGACGCATACAGAGGTAGTGGTCTAAATGAAGTATGTTACAGGAAAAAGAACAATCAGAAAAGATGACGCTGATATAAAATAATGTGAAAATATTCAAAAACTGCTCCATATATACTAGAGCAGCTTAAACCTCTAGATCTTGGTGACTAGTTATAAGCTTTATAAAAAATAAAATTGTATGCCTGATCCTAAAAACAGACATATGTAGCTGGTTCTGCAGAGAGGAGACTCATAATCGAAAGATTTCCCCAAACAAAAACACTGTTAAAAAGCTAACTACTCTGTTGGGAACATTAAGTCATACTAAGAAGTTTGCATACTCTAAATTTGCCAAAACAGTAAAAAAAAAAAAAAACACTGGGTTTGCCAGGTTTAACGTTCAAACTTGGCAAACAAAGTCCAGTGGTCTTCACCAGCATCCTCCAAACTCGTCATGGGTAAAAATATCATCAACATTTGAGAAATCATCTTCAAATCACAAATGGAGAGAATTACACATCAATGCTAAAACATAAACACTAATGCTCACAAGTAAGCCACACCTCAAATACACTCTTGACACTACTTTTACAGAGTGGAGTTTTTGTAATTGTTCTGCTTTTTTTTGTGCCAATATCCCTCTTTAAAGTATAATCAATACATTACAGTATCTGTAGGGTTTCATGTTTCAGCTGTTTCCAACCATCATTTATGTGCCTAGGATCATTGTCCTGTTGGACCTCTTAGCTGAATCCAAATTTCAAATTTTATAACTATAAAGATGGCATTTGAGGAATTTTTAAGGTAGTCTTCCTTCCTGACTATTCCACCCACTTCAGCATGATAGTGCCACAAACATGGTTTACAGTTGGTCAGCTCCTCTAAAGTTCTTAAGCCTATCCAAACATTCATTTTGTCATTATGCCTCAACAGCTAACTTTTTGTCACATTGTACTATTAAACATCTCTCCAGAAAAAAATGTTTTCTTAAAGTCTGTTACAGGACATTCAAACATAGAGGTTTCCTCTTCACCATGGAGGATGACATTAGTGTTTCCTGTTCACTTCATTCTTGTGTTTGGACTCCTGGGTTCTTCCTGAATACTTTAGTGATGGGTTATAATTTTCAGACTTTTAAGCAGAATTTGTCAATCAGTTGTTATGACTAAAATAGCTTTGTCAGCATTTCTTCAAGTTATGTTCTGCTTTTTTTTGATTACATTATTTCCTGTTAAGAAATGCAGTACTATTATCTCAATACTGTGGTTTTTAACATTACCTTAACTGTTCTTCCTCTAATCTGTGTGGGTGTCCGTTTATTGGTGCTATTGGTGCTGCTTTTTCAACGGCACCAGTCTGATTTAATCATTCTTGGCAGGATAATATATGTGGGTTCAAAGATTCCCTGAGCGGTCTGACATGCAAACTGTTGTTTTCAATAATTCCTTCTCATAAGAACGTCGTCTTAAGGGGGGATAACAATGCTGTGATTAGATCGCTGATCTCTGCCACTTGGAATATATTTGACCTCTAATTAAGGAGTGTAATTTGATGGAAGGCAGAGACGACAGGTCATTAATTGCTTCATTAATTGTGAATATTTGCTTGTTGGGGAGGTCGATCCAGGGTGGTCAGTAATTGCTTCACCAATTGGCTGATCCACCAGCAGGAAGCTCGGCTCAAGGTTGTCTCCGCAAACAGGAAGCAGGAGGCAGGAAGTCAGGACCCGAGGAGGGAAATTAACGATTCTAGCAAACAATGGGGCAGCTTTTTGAGGCATGTCAGCACATGTCACTGACCACCTCAGCTCCTACCTGCAGAGAAACAGATTTATTTCCCTCCAGTTGCAGATCCTCTCCTTACTTTCCCCTGTTGTTCCCATCCCACTTGTTTTTTCCTCACATTAAAGCCAATCAGCTAAAATCCTGACATGTCAGAGAGGTGTTATGTATCTCATTATACATCTGTCATACTTCATCACTTTCTGCAGATTTAGATGTGAATCTAGCACTCTGCCATCTGTTTCTTCATTACACATTAGTTTCTCTTTTTTTTGCACAATCTCCTGAGCTCTTGAAGTGGCGCCAACATCTTCCAACCAGCGTGTACACATAAACTGAATAGGAAACCACATTTACGGGCAACGGCAAATTAAAAATCTAATTAATTTTGATCAGCATGAGCATCTATTTATGCTTCTGCTCCTATATCTGTTTTGTTTGTTTGTTTTTTTTGCCGCAGGCTGTTGGCATTCTAATAAACGGCAGCATTCCCGATCTGATTGGCTCAAAGGTAGAGTGTGAGTACAAGCCCGGTGTTTCCACCGTTGCCACGGTTTACGGTCTCTCTCAGATCCAGACTTGTCCCCTGCTCCCAAGAGAAAACTACCAACCCATACCCCCTGGTACAGGTGAGCCATCCATTTCTCAGACCTATTCATTTTGCTGGTAAGGAGCAAATGTAATTTCCGCTTTCATCTCTCATAATGCAGAAAGAGGTCTGAGTCTGTTGCCATCTATTTTGTCTTATGAGACTGATACCATCTCCAAATGTTGCAGAGCAAGATACATGCCCTCTTTGTTTTCTGCAGATCACCTGGCTGTTTCTGTGGCGATAAAGGTGAACGGTACATCTGTGGTATCTGGTAGCTTCATCATCTACGACTGCGAGAAGACTGGACAAATTCACCCTAACACTCCGTAAGCCTCACATTTCATGTCACCATCTCAGACTTAGTGATGATGGGAAAGCTTTCAGTAATTTTAAACTTAGGTACAAAAAGTCTGACAGCCAGTTTCGTTTTGTATTTTTTATCACCAGTATAATTTTCACATTAACAGCACATAGTGATACCATGCTGTCAAGGACGACATAGTGGGTTTCACACCTTCTTCACTTGAGACACTTAAAAAAAAAAGCTGTGACTACCTAATAATCTTTGAAAGTTCTTAAATCACTGGCTTGTGTTTGATTGAAATGAGAATATTAAATATGAATTATAATTTAAAGATTCTTTGCTTTCATTGGCATAAATGTAAAGTCCTTTAAAATTTGTACTTTGGCTGCTTTTGCCTCATGTCCACTAGTTTTTAAGAAGAATATGCTTGCTTTGGTTTGTTTGTTTCTTATGGAGCCATCTGACATTGACAGATAGGTGACATATACAACCAGATACAGCTTGGCAAATAACTAACCCTAAATTAGATCCTTTGGCTTTAAGTTTTAACTGTTTTTTTTTTTTTCCTTTTGTTTTATTTTTAAAAGTAGGAAATTCTAAATTAGTATAAGATATGGTAGTTCGTAAAGAGCTATTAGCAGGAAACTTGACATAGATCAGATAATAGTAATGAGGCATCTGTCTGGACTTTGAGTGGACCATTTTAACATTTGAAGATGACCTAAATCTAAACTGTTGCATTTCAGCTCTGGCTGAGGTTCCGGTTGTTCTGATTCATGGTGAAGGATTCCAGGATTCTCTCATATTGAAAATCTTGCACTTTCCCATCCTGACTAGCTCTCCTGTAGTTGCTCTATTTCCACTGCATGATGCTGCCACCACCATGTTTCCCTACAGTGTGGGAATGTTTGGGTCTGTCCACTGTGTTACTTTTCTAACAGACACAGTGTCTTGCATGTAAGGTAGGAAGTTTAGTTTTGGACTCAAATGACCAAAACATCTTCTAGATTTTTATTCTAAATGAACATTGATTGTGGCAATTCATGTATATTTTATGGGTCTCTTTTTCAGCAGTGTTTACTTTCTGCTGGTTTCAATGCAGGACAGATTTGTGGAGTTCTCAGTTAAAAGTTTAATGAAAACATTATGCATCTCTACAGCTCCTCCAGAGCTCTATTACCTTCAGGTTTAATGTTGGTGATTAAACGTTTCTCCTAACTTGACATTAAAACTCTCTCCAACATTAATCCTAAACTGTCCACAGTTTATTCCTATGGCCTTCATACGGCTGAGACCTTTACACAGCAGATGTATGTATACTAGGATTAAATCACACACAAGCTGACCTTTTTTTTTAATCTGGTGGGTTCTCAAGGCAGTCTTGGTCTTTTCATGTGGTATTAGACTAAAAAAAGAAGCTGAATGTATTTATACTCCACTTTTTAGATCTTTATCTGGAACAAAACAATCACTTAAGTTTCTGGTTGTAACATGACAGAAAATGAAAATGTTAGAGGGGTCAGGTACCTCTGTAAGGTGGTGGATATAAAATCTTCAGAAAAACAAATACGAGAGCAACAAAGTACAAAGGAGAAATTGGAAGGCCTAGAGAACAGCTGCAGAACCACCTTGAAAGGTTCATTTTTGGAAACTGGTTGGTTTAAAGTTGTCCTCAGTACTCTGCTTGAAACTAATTTCTGTGTTTTGAGAGGACAGACTTAAATGAGAATTAATTCAAATCATGTCTAGGTTAAACTGTTCAATTTTGTAGGTTTTCTGCTTTTTATTAAATGGAACATTTAGTTCCAACAGAATATTTATAATCCCTGCTGGTAATTTTATCAAATTACTTGACCTAATTATGTCCCCGAAGCTTTTTTTCATGATAACACATGATAAATATCCCAAAACAATCCTTCCAAAAGGATAGTTTCTTCTAGTGTTCTCTAAACAGAACCAAACCCGAAATATCAGGCGTTTCCCTTAGTGCCATTTCAAATCTGAGCACACAACTGGACAATAAAGACAAAGCCTCTATTCTGTGTTTGTTCTTCTTCTATGTCCCTAGTCTCCTCATCAAATGCCTTCTATTTAGGCCACGGCGGGTAAACACAGCCAACATGTCCTCTCCCAGGGCTTATTGTGTGTTTGGCTTGTTCAAGGGTTTCTCAGTGTGCGATCAAATATGGGATTAATATTCTGTAAATGTTAAGCCAAGGGAAATTAGATATGTATGTTTCTGTGAAGGACGTTGACTTGCATGTCCTTGTCCAAAAAGGCAGGGCTTTTCCTTGGATGTGGAGGCATTCCAGCTGGCATCGTCCTGCATGTTGGACCATGTCGCGGTATCCTCTCTATCTGATCCTCTGAGCCTCATATCTGTGAGTGTGTTTGACAGATTCAAAGAGATCAAAAAGCATTTTGCCCCCCCCCCTTTTGTTCACTTTTTGGAGGTAGTTTCGAGGTGTGAACACAGCGTCTGCAGGTGTATGTGTGCGAGACTGCACCCAATATGTGGCGGGGTCCAGGAGTGTGAAATTAGATGGTGGTTTGTCGGAGGTGATAATGAGCAAAGTGCCGTTTGTGCAGGAAGAGCATTACCCAGTGAGGTGGAGAACTGCTGGGCTCTGTCTGATCTCATTCACTCCATGCTGCTTCTTTTTTTTTCAAACAGTGGGTTTTGTTATGCACTTAGACTCAATGAAACCACATAAAAGAGCCATTCTCTATGAAAAGAGCCATCACTTTGCTAATAGATAAATCAAAGTCTTGAAGGATGAGAAAGCAAAACCTTTTCTTCTGAGGAAAGCGTTTACTTTGGTTTAAATGCAGAGATCCTCCTCTGTTTTATGTTAACTGAGGCTATTATGTTTTATTTAAGTAAGGTCAGGCATTAATGCTTTTAAGACCAAAGACATTAGACTTTTTATGCCACACACTGTGAATGAAATTATCCACTTTTATGAAGTCCATTTCCTTTTAGGAATAAAGTGAATCAACAACATGATTGCCTGTTGGCTGAGTGCAAACTCCACCAGTGCAAAAAAAATAAATAAAATATATATATATATATATATATATATATATATATATATATATATATATATATATATATATATATATATATATATATATATATATATATATATAGAATAAAAAAGGAAAACCCTTTCCTTGTGCCCATTAAACATGATTGTGCTTCAATTCATTTAAAAAGATCGATAGTTATATGAAATGTATCTCAATGAAGTGAAGTGGAAAAGTGAATCATTTATTATAGATCTGCTACACATAGTGTGATATATTTCAGGTATTATTATTATTATTTTGTATTTATAAAGCTTATAAAGACAACTCTTTAAATAATTAAACTGAAATAATTCAGTGTTGGCCTAGTGTTAGAGCAGTGCGCTTGTACCCGGTCCGATCCCACAGCCAGCGCTCTGGGACCCTGAGCAAGACCCTTAACCCCACAGTGCCTCTGCCACAGCCTGCTGCTCCCCAATGGGATGGCATACGATGCAGAGGTGAATTTCTCCATTGTGACATCAATAATGTTCAATTATTATTATCGTTATTTTTAATAAAAAACTGTTTAAGGATCTGCACTTGTGAAAAGTACAGCATATATATATAAAGTATATAGACTCAGTAATCAGTCCTGCATCAATGAGGGGGGGCCCTAGAGCCTCTGTTGATGCATTTAAAAAACACAGCTGGCCTTTTTAGCCTCCTTCAGCTCACCTGCATTTTGCATCGAGCGTATTTCATCTTGTGTGAACATTACTTCATAGAATCAAAGTGTTGTTGGGTCAGCCTAATTAAGCACAGAAATATGCTCATTAGCCCGGGCTATGATTTTGTTGGAAGTTCAACTGGATGCTGAACTTTTTAAGTATTTAAAAAAATATATATATATATATCATCTTCCTGATATTTGTAAACATTTTTTGAGCCCATTTCTTCCTTTTACTTCACTCTTAAAATATATTAAAATATAATTTACAGTATTAGCCTGATTAGATAGCTTGATTATTCATTAGCTATATTATTCATAATAATCCATGTTTGCTGAAAAAGCAATAATGTAATGGATCTATATAAATTAGACAAATTCAATAGTTTAAAATGAATTATAGAAAGTGTTTGGTTCTTTAAAAAATTTCTCTTTTTGACACTAAAAGCAAGTAAAAATAAGTAATTGTGTCAAGTTCATAAGTACATTTTGTCCGAGTAATGTCAACTAAAAGAAAACAGGAATGAGAAATATTTGCACTAAAGAGTTTCTGCAGGGCCAAAGACAATGTTTAATGGTTTGAGATTCAACACAGTTGAAGTCAAAATGTTTCTATATCCTAAATTGGCATCATGTTAATCATTTAAAAACTTTGGATCTCATGTTTTATGCCAGGAATTCAGAATATGTTGGCCTTCAGCGATTGAATGTCGCCCAATATTTTTAATTGTGTTGGGATTTTTTTTTCTATTGTCAAGTCCAGCAAATGAACATAAGTGTGATAACGAAGAAACGTTTCATACAATATATTTGGCTGGATGATCCTAGTAGCAGTTCCAAGTGTAATAAATCAGGAAAAATCTGTTAAAAACAAAGAAAACAGATATCCTTTAAAGGTTTATGAGCCACATGCTGAAGTTTATTTATGATATAATAGGGCTGAATCAGTTTGCATGTATGTGTTTGTCTAAAGGAGCGAGTGCTGTTTGTGCTGCTCACTCTTATCATAAAGTGGTCACTAGGTAAAGTGTAAATTACAAGCAGACCATGACATTCCAACATCACCCTGCAGACCAAGAGGACAAACACCAAACCTTTAACTGCTCTCTTCTTTCTTTCTCCACCTCATATTTTCTCTCCTTTTTGAGTCATTCTGTACTTGCTCTTTATTTTACCTTTTCTGCGTCACAGTTCTCCCTTTCTTGTGTCTGTGTGGGTTCACTTGAACTCCCCTCCCTAAAAGGCGTCCTTTCTCCTGAAAGGATCCCTGCTTCTATTTCTCTTTGACAGAGGTGTGATTGAAGATGTGTGTTCAACCTCTGTGTCCACTGAGGGACCCTGAGAGTGTGAGCCCAGCTGTGTATTTAGGCCGAGTGTGTACGTGAGTGGTCATTATGAGCAGGGGTGAGCAGTTTCACAGGGTATTTGCTGTCAGTGTTCAGTCAAGCCCAGAGAGTGTGTGTATGCAAACATGGCTGGGCGATGAGGTTTTTAGATGTTTTAGTTGGGCAGAAATGGAGTTAGGAGAAACTGGGAGGCTGCAGCTGATAACAGCCTGGAGGAGTCCGTCTGCTTCTAATCAGAACACACACAGTTACACATCCTCTTACACCCGCCGCTGTCTAATCTAGAGACCCCCTCGGAGTGCTGCTATCACTGGAGGCACCATCCCTCCTAGTGTGGGACATCTGTCTCTACCCAGAGGCTAAAGACGCAGACTCCCCTCACACCTAAGTAGTCTTGGTATATTTAGGGGCTTTATCTTGAAGTCACACCGCTGGATTCTTATCTGCAAACACTCTTTGTAAAGAGTTACGACTCAGCCTTAAAAAGCATGGATGTGCAAATATCAACTGAGCTGCCAAGCATGTTCTAGCAGATGTTCTCAGTGAAGTAGCCTCTTGTCGGCACCTTAAAAGTCAAGCCTGTTTTCGCTGAAATATAAACACATGAGATGGCATGCATACTCATGCATCATCATTTAGCAGAGAGAGAGTTTGATCTCCGCCGATCTGGCCCTGACCTCTCCGCAGGCTGAGCTGACTGGGGAATGAGCGTGTCTGCTACTGTGACTAATCATTACTTCCTTTTATTAAAGCCTTACTTTGATGCCTATAATCAGTCCAGCCTCCCCGTTATTTTTTTGGTGCTCCAAAATGAGTCATAGTGGGCTCCATTTTCAACTTTTACATGGGAACGAACACATAGACAAGATTTTAAGGAGAAAATAGACCTCACCAAATTATATTTCTTCCCCTGTTTTTTTATTTTTATCCCTATCATGGAATGAGAAATATACAAAGACAGTAGTTACATGATATCCGAATTTTTAGGCAAAATCAGCTAGGGGAAACTTGAAATTGGGAGAGAAAAGATTTTTTTTTTTTATCTGATTTTTGTCCTATGCTTTTGTTCCCTTTCCCCTTTTCTATGAAACCTCAAATAAAGATACACAGAGCACATTAGGAAACATTGAAACATTAACCAAAGCATCCTATGGATCACTGTTCAGTCCACTATTTGGAACCAACACATGGTCAGCCATCTAATTTAACAGGCTATGTAGGGTTGAACAAGGAAAAGCAGCTTCGAGAACGATGGTTACTCTGGAAGTGCAAGAAAATATAATGAAAAAACAACTACAGGTTCTGCACTCCACAAATCTCGCCTGTATAGATTAACTATCTATGTACTATCTATAAATATCTGCTTTTGACTTTGGTTGATAAAGCCATTAAATAATGTCTTAAACACATAATCACTGCTATGACACATAGTGTTAGCGCCATCATGCTGAGGGCTTATTGTAGTCTTATTATGAGAAACCAGAATAAAAGAGATTAAAGTTTGTTGTCAATTTACATATTTTGGAAACGTGTAAGGAATAGTAATTTATTATATATAATGTAGCACCATATATACCTTTGAACCTTTCTTTATTTTTAGATGCATGAGCTGCCTGAGCACAGGGTGGAAGTGCTACTGGGACCAGGAGAACCACCTATGTCTCTCGAGCAAAGATGAATCAAAGCTCAACCTTCTTGAAGTGAGTAATTCTCCCCCAATCTGTCAACCAGACAGATCCCTGAGGGAGTTAATGATATCAGTCTCCTACGTGTCCAAATCGCTGACACAATACGGATTTTGCAGAAAAAAATGTTTTCTTTTAATAATCTGAGTCCAGACTGGTTAGGCAAGAGCACCCATGCGGTGAATCATTGTGAGGTTACAATTTCAGTTTCTCAACTACAGTGTGCAGAAATGTTGAAATCAGCTATGAAGTCTCAGGAGGTTCTTTTTTTTTTTACAGACGTGTAACAGGATAAAGTATTATTGTAAAACTCCTTTAAAATGCTCTGAAGTTTCCCTTTGACAGAAATTTGTGAAGAGTCAAGGAATGTATTTACGGTGAGGGAAAAACTAATGTTTTTATAAATTAGTGTTTCTGAGTAGAAACTGACACAGACCTATCTTTTACTATCAAATATTCAGTGATATGAGCACTGTGAGTGCTAGAAGTGCTCTTAAACAATAAAAATCATATCAAACAGTGTAACAAGATATCAGTGCAAAACAGGGAAAGTTATCCAAAAACAAGCCTAGACCCATTGGAAACTATTACCACTTTCCTTTAGACGTTTTTCTGACAACATGATGATTAAGTCAGCTATCAAACTATTTGTGTCTACTTTAGAGTTTTACTGCTGAGCCAAATCCCATGGCCTGCGTGGCCCTGTGGATTTTCCCTCTTCAGGCCTGATCCCACTTTAGGAGTGGGTGGGGGGCTCCTCTGGTCAGCTGTAGGCCTACTGCTGTTATTCTGAAGCCTTTTATTGTCACGGCTGTTTAATGATAAGGTTTTATCTCATGGGTCTTACACAGATGAGGTAATGAAAGCATGATTGCATCTTTAAAGCAAATGGAGTAAATATCCATTAGATCAGCGTTTTTTAAGCTGCTTTAGCTATTTAAATTATAGTTTTTGTTTCAATCGGGGATACGATTTTTATACTAGAGATCATGAGGTCACAGGGAAGTATTTAGCTGTTTCCTTTTTCTGTGTCTGGTGAGTCTGTTTTTCTAATCCTTCACCGTCGCTCTATTTGAAGTCATTGTTGCTTTCCTCAAAGCGAGGCTTGACCCTCTCATTTCCTGCTCCTCCAGATAAACAGGACAGGTATTTTTAGGTGGTGGATGTATGAAAGGGGGGGCTGAGGGAGCCATTGTTTTCTTTAACTGCTGTATGTCACTTCCTTCCCACTAAAAACCCCCCACCTCTCACCACAGAGTGCCGCTTCCTGCCCCAGCCTGATTCCCTCCGATGCTCCTCCATCCCCATCAGGAATGGCCCAAGACTTTACTATGAACCTGAAAAACATCCAGAAGGTGCGTCAGATATCCTCCAGCTTGGGAGCCGGACTTGGACTGTCTCCAAAAACTACATGTGGCGAAAGTGATTGGAAGGAAAAAGAAGCATATGGTGTATTAGCTTCAAGCAGGGCTAAAAACAGATGAATGTTTGTGTTCTGGGATTAGGGTCAATGGATGACTGAAGCCAGTCTGAGTGTTCTGCTTGTTAAAAATACAGTGGTTCACACTAAAACTTGTGTGGAACAGAACTAAACTGTTTTCTTGGAATATAGTTTGGCATCCTGTGTATTTTACCTGTAAAACAGATTAGTCTTTGAGAACTCTTATGGAAACCAAAATTGTTAATAAACTATATATGTTCAAACCTTTACCCTAAAACCTAGGTTTAAATAGGCTTTAAGTTAGATATAACACTCACACCTTCTACAAAGTTCAGTTTCCCTTGAAGGATTTTTCTGACATTTAATAATTTACAAATTATCACATTCAATTGGAGAAAACATATAGAAGGAATTATTTTTTCTTTCGAATTGAAGAAAAGACAAGATGCAGCAAGCAGCATTGACTTAACTAAATGATATCTGAGATGTGCTGCTTCTTTACAGCATTCATTGCTGGAATCTCCATATATCCAAAATACATAGTAAGGCTAAAAGACAAAAGCTTTTTCATCTAAACAAAATATCCACCATAGAGCTGCATGTTATATTATATAAGAGTTATCATCACAATGCTTGTTTTGGAAACAAATAAGCAAATGGTTAGATGCAATATTTGGTTAAATATTGTATTTTACTGTCATGCATGCACATTTTGCATGCCAATGACATATTCAGCCTACTTGAAGGACTGTCCCAGTCCCTGAAACCCAACATTTATTGTTATTATTATTATGTTTTTAATGGCTATGATGTTTAAGCTAACTAACCCAAAGAAAAGTAAAGATGAAGAGAGGTAAAGTAAAAAAAAAAGGCTTTATTTCACGAATTGTCAATTTTTTTTGAAAGTCCTTGCCAGGATCTAGAAAGAATTTTTCATTTAAACAACTGAAGAGATTCCAAACAATAAATCAGTTGGGCAGATTTTGCCCAACGCAATAGTGGAAAATATTTCCAATTAAAGATACCATGTGTGGGGTGATATAAGACCAAATACAGAAATCAAGTGTTAGTTTAATGCTGTGCAAGATTATGCAACCAAGTTGTAGCATTTAACAGTTCTAAATGTAACACTTTTCTTTGTTTGTCTGATAACTTGTACAGAATAATGCCATATTAGTTGTAGAAAAATGTTTAACTGAAAAAAAAACACATTGTGTAGACTTTGGAGAGCCACTGTAACGGATGAAGATCATTTGCTCAGCTGTTTGGGCATGTTCAGCCTCCGGTATCTTGCCATGAGGAGCTGTGTCTTTGTCAGCACAGTGTACAGCTTGTGCATTCAGCCTGAGGCAGCAGGAGCTAATTTTGCTCTTCTTCATTTTCATTCAGGCGGTCTTTTCAGATCACTGGTTAAAAGTCCCATCCTCATAGTTAATCCGCACTGAGGGGTTCTAGAAGCTGACGCTGCATCAGTGAGGATGAGGACCTAACTCAGAGACCTGCTCAAAATGTCACTGCTGACTGGTTGCCAGGCGTGGCTGGTCACACTCTTAACCCCGGCTGGCCTCTCACGATGCCTTCCTGGCGTGTTGCTATGGTGACAGACATTAAGTCACACACAGACTTCCTCAGGATAGCCTTCTCCTCATTATGAAAGTTTAGACAGACTGACGTTTGATCAACGTCTTCATCTCGGACAAGTCAGCAGAGCAGGAAATGTGCTGCCAATCAAATTCAGCCGACACTCCGACCCTGCTGGGATTCCTTTTTTGTTAAATTCCACGCTTTTACCACAGAGAAGAAATACGTTCAGAACAACTTTCTCATCTTTTATATTTAATCTCTGACTGACTTCCGGGGAAATTTTCACACTAGCACACAAAGGAAGAACCGTGCAGCTACCATACATATCAGTCGTCTCGGGTGTCAGAAAGCGAGGTGAAATAGCTGCGTCCTGGAGAGGCCGATCAAAGTAGACCCATTTAAGCTGGCCGGATTCACTGACAAATGACTTCTTCCACTTTAAGCACTTATCGTCTGCTGCTCTTACCTGTCTCTGCCTCTCCGTGGTCTCAGATATCCCGCTCCGGAGAACTCCAGGCACTTATTTTGTGAAGAAATAAATTCACACTCATTATTCTGACTCCCAGATGAGCTGCCGAGGTGTGGGAGTCCAGATGTTTATGAATATGAAATCTGAATGTCTTTTCTGGCAGACTCAGTTAATATGGGATTAATTGTACTTTCACTTTCCTTGTATTTTCTCAGCATTAAAGATTGTTGCTAGACATTAACATTTTGTGCATTTGCTTACTCTTTTCAAGTGTTGAGAACTGCAAATTATCACATTTTTGTTGGCTGTAGTTCTCCAGATACTCCATATTGTTTAAACAAGTGTCTTACTCAACAGAGGGAGAGTCTGGAGTGTGACTTTGGAACAGAATCGCGCTATGAGGCCATATGGCTGGACAACTCAACTGTCAAGTGCAGTGGGGTGACAGTAAGTTCGGACAATAATCTTCCAGAAATAGCCAGTGAGGCTATTTGTTACATGTACTGCCTCATTGAGCTCACACTTGTCATGTTTCAAGCTTATTTTTTAGCTGTTTTTAATCTAATATCTTTAAATCTTGTGTTGATGAGCTGACCAGAAGCCTATCAGAGTGCCAGTGACATTTATTGACAACCCTGGAAAAGTAAATAAATAGGTTACATTTATCCAATACTGCAGTAGCATCTTACCTAAAAAATGAAAAAACAAAATAAATTCAAGTTGTCGTAGATGAGATTTCACATGGTCTTTAACCATTAATCTGAACACCATCTCTAACGATTCTGTAGTCCTTGATTATTATCCATTTAAAAGCATGGAAGATATATATATCCATTCATATATATATATGTATACTAGAAAAACAGTAGTATTTCAAAAAAGTCTAATTTACACTTTATTAAAGAAAATATTTTCTGAGATTAACCCCCCGCCCCCACGTAAATAATGATCATCCAAATAAAGTATTGATCAAATTATTCTCTATAAGATTATACTATTGCAGTATATGTGTGATCGATTTTAAAGGCTTACAGACATACTTACTATTATCGGCAATAAATGTGGTCTGCACTATATTTGGGGCAATAACAAGACTTACAATGAGGATCAAACTGGGACACTTACACAGCCTTTATATCTGATAATATCTGCCTCTTTTCCCTTTTAGTTATTCACCAATCAGAGGAGTCAGATTTACCACCTCAGCCTCAGGAGAGCAGGAGACTTCAGCAGTCAGAGGAAGGATATATTCCTTGACAGCCCTCAGCCCATGAAAGGTAAGATGTAAAACCTATGATTAGACAGACATACAAAGAGAAGGAAAAACACAGCCCTATGCTATGCTGTAATCCTTCTCTTCTTCCTTACTTTAAAGGAAAAAAAAAACGACATGACCCTGGTGCTCAGAGAATGCATTTCTGACGAGACGGGTGGATATGATTGAACCTGTGGAAAAATAAAAGAGTACTTACTTCTCCAGCCTCCAACACTTACAAGAATAGACAGTGTCAGACTGCCTTTCACTTGTAATGATAGCAGTTTGTGTATTGCAACACATAATTTGCCAACAACTAGTAATTTACCATAATGTTGTATTCTGCTAACGCCTAATTACACATAATAATTACTGAACATGTGGGGGGGGGGGGGGGGGGGGCTGCGATCGAAGGTGTTATCATAGCCTCTTGCAAGCAGTGTCCAAACCTATTGTCGCAAATACAATTTGAGCTCCATGACAACTGCGAGATGATGAGAGGTGGCGCGTGTTGTTGAACTTAGTATATTGTCTTGCGGAGCCGCTACAAGCCAGTTGTTTGCCTGTCCCATTCCCTGATGTGACGTTCACAGCCACTGTGAACAACAGCCTGGCCCGCTGCCACATATTCTGCTTAACAGGCATCCCGCCTCAGCATGCATAGTCATCAAATTTTAAAATGACACACACTTTATCACATACATACAGATGCATGCGCCCTAATATGCACGCAGTCAGTTGTGCAGATGTGCTTGCAGTAATACAAATGGGATGTCTCGCTGGGAGGCACTTTGGAACAGGAACATAATCATCTGTTTTCCTGGGCTTTGTTCTCATCCCCTTGTTTTTTCTTCAGTTTTATTTTTATAACAATGAATACATCATCTTCCAAATGTTTATTCTACTTATTTAGAGCATGCAGCCCATATGGTTCATGTAAGCTGTGGAGCAAAATGTTCAGCCGAACATTCAAGGTCAGCAAAGCCAACAGATGTTTTATCAGGCTACAACCAGCACTCCGATAATTTTCCATTGGTAAAAGTAGCAATGCAGGGACTGAAGGACACTGATTTATTACATCCTAAATACCGTATATTACAAATATAGGTCATGAAGGAAACGAGACAAAGCAGCAGCATCAAAATTTAACTAGCACCAACACAGCTTTTTGTAAAACATTATGAGTCTAAAAATAGTGTAGACCACTTGTGTAATGTTTGCAGAGCCTCTTGCATCTATGTCAGGTATTATCACAGAAAAAAACTCACTGCAGGCATTACTTTACTATTCTTTTAAGAAATGCTCTATGACCTTGAAAAATTGTTGTTTAAACATTGCTTTTTTATAAAGTATGATAAAAGATTTTTCTATTTGTAGAAATTTGCCCTTAAAGTTCCATTTGAAGGAGTTATTTGACACAGCTTAACAATAAGTAGTGTTAATTAGAAGGACATTAAAACGTGGTTTTAAAGATCTATTAACAACTATTTAGTCTTACCTCAAATTCTTAGGTACATTTATGTTTGAACTTTGACTAGGCCATTCTAATACACAAGTGAGTTTGGATGGACACCTTTACATTGATGCGCTGGTTCACCTGTAGGGTCATTGTCCTGCTTTAGAGTGACCATTTTTTCAAAGTGGTTCTTAAAACAGTTTCTTCAAGCAGTATCTTGTAGTTAGTTAAAGGGATTATTAGTTAAAGGGATACTCCACACTGCATGATGCTGAAATCTCAACCTTTCACCTATGGTGTAGTTTGCTCAGAGAGATCTGCATTAAAAGCTCTACTACACCAAGGCTAGATTCAAATACAGTAAAAGGAATAGTTGTGCACACATAGAAACCTATGTCCAGGTCCAGTGCAGGATATTCAAAAACCCCAACAAGGAGAAATAAGGAAAATTCACACACTTTCAAAGCTCCCAATGTCTTTTATTGAGAAATACAAAGGTTCAACCACAAGGTCTTCCTCAGGCAAGACCTTGTGGTTGAAACTTTGTATTTCTCAATGAAAGACACTGGGAGCTTTGAAAGTGTGTGAATTTTCCTTATTTCTTCTGGTTCGTTTTGAATACAGCAAAATAAAACCCCTATTTCCTATTCTTAGCTCCTGTTCCTTCACTTTTACTTGGTTTAACAATTAGAACACTACTGTGGATTAGAAAGAGATTCACATTGATCATGTTTTTCAAATTAGGACTACAGCCTTCTAAGGGGATACTCTAAATTTTTGAAAACTCTATGTTGTTTAAATATTTTGGAATGTTTAAACAATGAGACATTTATACCTCAAAATGCTGTTTTTTAAGCTAAATAGCAGAACAGCTGCATTTATACTCAGATTAAACTACACATAGGTGAAGCCATGAACACTATGAGGAGACAAAATATAAACAAACAACACATATTTCCTTCCTCTTTGTTCCAATTCAGTGCAATAAAGTGCTGTTTGCTGAAGGCAAATTGCTAAGAGGAGATCATATGGCCTGGCTCTATTAACTGTTCTTTTCTTGCTACTCTTCCATAAGGGTCAGATAGTGTAGGGCTTACAGTAGGGCTAATGGTTCCCACCTGAGCAGTTCCTCCAGAGTTACCATTGTTACATTTTGACAGCTATTTTTGAACAACATTTTATTTATAGATATCAAGATTAAGTTGATAGAATACAAATGCACATCTTACTTTTGGATTTCCTTATTTAAAATCTACGAAAAACCCTTACATTTAAAGAAAAAAAAACATACACATTGATATGTGGCAAAATGAAAAAAAGTTTATATATATATATATATATATATATATATATATATATATATATATATATATATATATATATATATATATATATATATATATATATATATATATATATTATGTTTGGATTATTTGGCCCACTAAATTATGTATATTATTTTATAAAAGTTCATATACCTATCTCTGTCCCTTCTTCCTCCCGTCTCCCTCTAGTGGAGGTCTACAATTGTGGAGCAGGCAGTTCTGACTGCTCCCAGTGCTGGGGCCGTGAGGACCAGGGACACCTCTGTGGATGGTGTGAAAACAGCTGCAGGCCCAGGGATGACTGTCAGCCAATCACGGATGTGTGTCCTGCTCCTGAGATCAACAAGGTAAAATGTTTGCATTCACCCTCCTCCTCTTTTCTGTGGGCGTTAGCCTCTGTTTCGTTTCGCTGAATCATGAGGTCACTCACATGATATACCTCCCCCCATGTCCTGTCTGTCCAGTGTCAGCTGCTGGGGGGACTGTTTGAACCAATTCTTAATAAAACAGTTCACTCCAAAACAACACTGACACTCATTCAACCACAGCTCACATGGGACACAGCTGAAAGGATCTGTGATCCATCAGGAGGGCATGGGAACACCTTCCACCCACTAAAACAGCCACATATGTATTTGTAATCCATGGATCGAGAGCTGTAAGTTAAGAGGTCTTCATGTGAAAGAAACCACAGAAGCTAGAATAAGCTCCCATTAGGGACTGTTTTGAATTTCAACCATAACAGGAGCAAAACCACTCTGGTAAAAAAAGGAATTAGGGCACATTTATCCAACACAGATCTTATTGCGGTCGTGTCATCGTCTCCTCTGAAAGGGTGCCCTTCCTTTAATGCTTTTAGGTAAGCAATACGATCATCATATTTATTTGTTTGTCTAACCGTAGTGGAGGTGCTTTCAGTTTCATCCCCAAAGTCGTTTTCCTGCAGCTTATATCGACGCGGCCACAGCAGGCATTCATGGGAAGCACGGCTCACATGAGAGCCAGTCGGCCTGAACTTCCTGTAGATAAAACCTTGTCAGCCCAGGAGAATAAGCAAAGCAGAACAAAGCAGCCAAATGCACATGCACAAACTCCTTCAAGTACACACACGTAGGCCCACAATCTGTCACACAAACTGGCCATATTGAAGCGTTCACGATTATCCTTCATTCTTTGTAGCTGTCAGCATACTGTGACTAACAGGATGCTCTTTGAGAGCCTAACTCATGTGGACTTCTTATGTGACTGAAGTTAGCTGGGCAGAGATGTGTGTGGGTAGACTATTGTTGCACAGCTCTCTTACACTCACACTGTTTCTCGCAGGAGAGAGGATTGTGGGACTGTGGTTCACTCGGGTGTGTGATGCAATACTTTGGCAGACATGTTTTCTCAGAGAATCCAAGGGGGTTAAAACCCAAGTAGTCCAACTTACTGAAACCAGATCCCATTTCCCTCAACACACACACAGACACCCTGGCCGGCAGCAGCAGCTCTTTGTTATACAGTCATGCTGTGGCTAAGATAATGAAACATGTTTGTCTTCTCTCTCTGATGTCACATACGATCTTTATCCCAAGACAACGGTGCCAAAACATCAATATTAAAATGGAGGACTTCATTATTCGCTAAAGTTTTCCACCTACCTCCTTATTATGAAAAATGTTTTCTGTTTCGTGCACCGACAGCAGACAAAGGAGATATTTATTATCTCCCTCGGCTCTTTGTTCCCATATAATGTGTAGGCCAGTTCATTACTGTAAAAGAAAACATAGTTTGGCATCCAAAACAGGAACTGACAAACACGGTTTATTGACATATAAAGAAAAAAACACAGAAGGACCTAGCTCATACTGGAATGGTTTAGGAGAGAGGATGCAGAAAAGCTTAGATAGAGAAGGGTGGGGAGCGCTACAGTTACGGCAGGGATCTTTTTCCTGTTTTTGTCTTTGTGTCCTTCTTGATTAGAGGGATGCAGGAAAACTGGACTGACAGGAGAAAGATGAAAGCTATGTCAGGAACAGAAAAAAATAAACAAAAGAAAAGCATATGTTTTTTCTGGCAGGCTGAATCCTGTATATAGGGCACTGCACAAGTATTTATGACCCTAAAGCTTTATCATGTTTTGCTGCATTGTAACCTTAAACATAAATGTACTTTACTTGGACTAACACATACTAATGCACTTGTGAAATGGACAAAAACACATGGCTTTAAACATAATACACCTGAAAAGTGTGTGGTGTGTTTGCAAAGTTGTGGACTATGACTTGATGACTTCACCCAAGCAGAGTTGAGTCACAGGTTTGTTGACTTGGGACTTGGTTGTTTAATACTTGGACAGAATCTGGAGCCCCAATAATTCAAAAGAGACTAGAAATAAGCATTATAAAATAGTTTATTCATCAGTAAATAGGTGTTACTGGAACTTGAAAGACTGAAACTGAAAACACTGTGGGGAGGAGATATGGGTTAGTGGTCGAGAACAAATCTGTTGAGGGTACACTGAATGAAAGCCACTAACCCCCTAAGATGCAGAAAGATTGTGCTGGCTCTGAAGAGCTGTATCAAGCCGGTGCCTACAGGCGCAGCCATATCGTTTCACAAATCCTGACAGTACTGGATAGAGCTATGGCTAGCTAGTCAGTTCGGGGGCATGCACATTGAAGCAACCACAATACAGGGCTTTCCAGAAGGACTAGACAAGAGGGGGATCCAGGATCCAGGCAAGAGAATTGGAAAAAGGAGACACACCTAAATGGGTAGAGGTTTCCAAATGAGGCAGGAAGCAGATCAAAGTTTCTGGCTTTGATCATACATGATAGGGAGGAAAATCCAGAAAGGGGAAGTGGAAAACAGATTTTGGCTATTTTGTTGAGAGGCAGGGCAGGAGGTTGATGTCCAGAAATCAGAAGCCAACAGGAGTATTCAACAGGGACATAAGAAAACAGGAATGAGACAGGACGATATTAGGAGATAAAAACTATGAATGCTGGATGGTCTCCCCACACAAATGACTTTCAAGAATCTGGCAGTTACCCACTTTTAACACCAGATGCAGCAAATCCCAGTATTTGGAGCTGCCATACGTGTCACTGCTCAGACTTGGATTGACGTTGCAGCTGAGGAAGCAAGTAGTGAGATCATGGGACTGTACACAGCAACTTCTTAGGCAGGAAATTCATTACATGTTGTGTAAGAAAAGACTTATAACTTGACTTTGACTTAAAATACCTAAATGGATTTACTTGATACTCTCCATAAATAAATAAAAAAAAGTAAGATAATAATCATTTATTTTCAGACATCATAGGGATAGTTCATAATGACTAGTTAAAGGTATAGAGGAGAATTTCCACAGATTTTTGAAGACCCACGCTCTCCCCCTTAAAAAAAAATGCACATGCACAATCCTGTACCCGCTCCCGAAAGGGCACGCCTATTAAATGCGTGCGAGAGCATGCAAGAGCCCATCTCTACTCGTGCACGCTCTGTTTAAAAGTTTGCATCACTCATACAAGCTTGCTTTCCAAAAGATTTGTAATTTTTCCAGTGAAAAGGTGAAAAGGGAGACGAGCACGTAGGACAGCCTTACGTAAACATATCACACGAATCATTGACAATTAGGAGGACCACTTATTTTGATGATCTTCCTGAAAAAGAACATCTTCACTAAACCTTTAATGGCATGATTTTTAAAGCATAGGACTTTCACTTGACTTGTAACTTGCTAATATTAATGTGATTTAACTTGAGAGTTGAACATTTAACTAAATTGTTTTTGGGGAAGTAATGACTTGGTCTCAGCTCATAGAATCATCCACAGAGCATGATGTTGTGAATACCATGTAAACCAGTGTTTATGGGGTTTTCACTTTAATTTGGTGACAGATTTTCAGTTTTTTGAATGCGAGTCAAAAAGTTCCATCCCGGTCTCATCCAATTTGATTGCATGGTCTGTGAGATCTTTCAAGATTGGGATGTTGCTAAATTATATGCTTAAAAACTATTAATTATTGACTTTAGTTTATTGTGTTAGTTGCTTTGAATTGTATCAAGGTTCAACACAGTAAAATGTAAAAACATATGCCCAACTTTTGTTCCATTTGTTACATTCCAGCATTTGTCCTGTTTATGTGTATGTTCAACAGATGTTGTCATTTTAGTTCCTCCTCTTTAATTTTGATTCCTAGTTTATTGTTCTTTTTACATCTAGATTATTTGGTGTTAGATTTTTCCTGGGGTTTCTGTATCTTAATAAGCTTATGTGGTAATTAGTCCTCCTCCCTCAGCTACCCTCCTCTTTTCTCTACCTTGGCTGAAACTATCAACTAAATCTGATGAGCCCCTTCTTGTTTAGTTGACATTTATTCAACCCTGCCTCAGTAAATATGCTCCATTACTGGGATTGTCCTCTGCCGGATCATCGTGTTACATTACCCATTACCATCCAGTTTCACTCCTCATTGTTACACTTATGACTCTGCTCATCTCCCTTGTATCTGTTTCACTATGTTTTTTCTGTAAGTTCTCAGTTTTTTTTATTTTTTAAAGATCATTACATCCATCCTATGCTCCTGTTTTGCCTTGATTCTACTCCACAATCAGGCAGCATAATATTATGTCTAACACACAAAACCTGAACAATAAATACATGTAGGTTTGTTGCAGCTCGACCAAAGGTTGGATTATAAATAATTTTGTGAGATAGTATAAATGTTTGTACCCTGCATATGCAGTGTGTTTGACTGAGGTATTATTTACTGTTCATAAGGGTTTAAATACTAAGGCACTGGGTTTAGAAGCTTTTGCAGACACAAACCCACAGCCGCGCTCTCCCTGGAGGCTTGGCAGAGTTTACGCTGTAAATCAAGGCTCACAGACTCATAAGAGGTGTAAATGAATAGCAGAGCAGACCAATGTTAATGTTAAATCCCAAAGGTAGCAAAGAGGCACACTGGGTACTGCAAGATTTGTTTTGATGATAAATAACTGCTGTTCTGTGATATGTATGGAATGCTCTTAAGCATATGCAGCCATGATCATGTATTTATTAATGTGAATTCTATGTATGTCTGCTGTGTAAATAAGCATGGTCTCACATCTGTCAAAACTTTCACAAACCATATATATATATATATATATATATATATATATATATATATATATATATATATATATATATATATATATATATATATATATATATATATATATATATATATAACCAAAATATGTTTCTTTATATAACATAAACAAAATACTTTCATTCAATTGAACGAAAGTGACTGACTGTGTTTTCAATATTAGAAAATAAAGTTCTAAACAGCATAACATGCCTTTTCTAATTACCCACCTTTACTCTGATGATGCAGCATCATGCTGTGGGGATGCCCTTTATCAGCGGGGAAAAGGAAGCTGGTCAAAGTTTGGGAAATTTGGATGGAGCTATTAATCCTGGGAGGAAAACTGAGGCTAGGATGAAGGTTCACCTTCACAGCTCTAAACAGGGGGTCAGACCTAAAAAATTATATTTTTATAATAGTTATGTCAAAATATAGACTTAAATTAAACCTGGAATCTGTGGCAGGACTCTATATGTTGTATTTTTTTTTCTAAAAGCTGAGTAATTAAAAGCTGTTGATGCAGAGGTGCTGAATAGTTTTTTTTAGTTGTTTTGGAATTCATTGTAATTTGGTAAGATGTAATATAAGTTCAAGGAGCAAGGTACTGTAGATTTATTTCTGCAATTTATTTTTACAAAGCATTAAAAGAAGCTCAGCCTTGCTTTTCTTAACCTCCCTCCCTTTTAACTAGGAAATATTGAGTTTATTTATCTGTTCTGATGTTCTTATAAACTCCTGCTGGGTAGCTGCATGTAAAGCTGAGCCTTTTCCTCTCACCCAGACCAAACAGAAGTGTTGTTTTTATTTCTCAGCTCAGTTTCCGATAGCAGTGGAGCCATGCTAATAACACTCAGGAGGGGGTCATGGTGACCTCGCCTCAGCCTGTATGTCATGTCTTGGTGTAGTACAGCCCTGCTACACTAGCAAAACCATAGCATAATTCTTCTGTTTTGGTCTAAAAGATGATATCTTTATAGATGTTTTCCCAGTGACTGGCAACCATTCTTCCCTTTGTTTCCTTTCCATGGTTTCTAAGTGGAAAGCTAAGGGGGCAAAGGCAAGGGCTGAAATGACGTGTGAGAGCACGCCTCAGAACAACGGCTGAAATAGGACTAAGGAATTTGACGGAACAGACACAGGAAAACAGATGAAAGGGGAAAAGCACAGTGCATTAATTCCCCTGTTGAGGCTTTGCTCTCTCACCACCATCATCAGCATTCAGTCTCCTCTCGACACTCGGTTCTCTAAATTGCCTCCCCACTCATCCACCTTTCTGCTGTGCTCTACACCTCGCCTCTCCAGCCCTCACTTTCCCACTCTGTCTGTCTCTCGTGGGATGTGAAGGGGGCTCTTAGCCTGCTCTTTATTTGCATGTGCTGTAGAGGATTAGAGGCTGAAGAGTCTCAGACAGGCTCAGTTAAGAGTCTGCAGTGCGCGCCTATATACCTAAACCATGTATCTGTTCCATTGAACCCCAATCTATGTCTATGGCACACTCCAAGTCTGAACCTCTGCTCATGCTCTGTGGCCCTAATTATCACCCATCATTATATGAGTAATTTTGAGCGCTGTAATCTCCTTACAGGCTCTAATTTATTGTGCTTATTGCAACATCTTCTGTCTCTTTTGTTGTATGTGTGTTCTCCATGTTCATTGCTTTACTTTGTCTTTGTCAGATCTCCCCCCTGAGGGGTCCTGTTGAAGGAGGTACACTGCTGACCGTACAGGGCAGGAACCTCGGACGAAGGCCGTCAGAACTGAAAGTCTCCATAGGAGATGTCCCCTGTGAACTGCTACCTGAGCGCTATACTGTCTCTGTAGAGTGAGTATTCAAACAAAAATTACAATTAGGAGTCACAAAGTCGCACTGCGTGTTTGGGGGTCAGAGTGTTTTCTGCTGATTCCTTGCACCTTGTACTTACTTGATTATCCATGCTGTCAAAAGTGTCAAAAAAGAGGGCTGAGAAAAGTCATAGCAAGATTTTTTATTTAAAGACCTGTTAAAATATGCAGCAACGTGGCAGCCGGGACTTGTGATGATAGGTGCCAATTAGCTGTTGTCATAGTAACCTAAGATTCGTTGTAAAAGGTGAGTGATCAGGTGGACAGTGAGCAGAGATGGACAAATGCAAAAGAAAAGACAAATCAAATAGAGAATAGAAAGGTTTTTTCAGAGCTGTTGGGAGAAACTGTGAAGTGAGTGTCTTGGACCGCAGCATGTTGTGCCTTAACTCAGACAGCACAGTCAGAGCTGCCAACACTGACTGAAAACAGGAACCAAGCCCTCTGCTCTGGAATTCCTTATCAGCTGGGAACACATAAAAAAAGCTTCAAAAATATTTTTACACAACTCCTCCAATTTAGTGCTTACAGTGGTTACTAAGGGGGAACTGGGCTCTATGTTGTCTAGGTCTTTAGGGGGAAATATTGGTTTTGTGTTCTAAAATATTGAGGTCATATTGGTTGATATGGCTTCAAAGGCAACTACCTGATCATTGGAAATACTCCACAATTTTTTATTTACTGGCTTGAATTATAGAGTAGAATGTATAGAAGAATAATTGGAGATGCACTAGTCAGGCATTTTTTTTGTGATGTCTGAGATACTGATTTAGATTTTCGTTGGGTTCGTTGATGAAGGCAGTAATTTTTTGGTTGATGACTTTATGGACTTAAAATTGGGGAGAAATCTTAATTTTGTATCATTTAGCAGCCAACCAAAAAAATAAAACATACATTTTGACCTGCTAATCATCTATCAGATGAAGGAGGGGAAAATGGGCTAATTCAAACTTCAGGTGAATGATTGCATGATTGCATCTCTAGAAAAACACTTTTTTTCTCCTGCTACCTCAAGTTATTTTCAAGATTTTTTTTTTGTAGTGACTAATTTTTTTAAACCCGGACTAATATTAGTATGATTACACATGCCTTTGTTTGTAAATAGCCGTATAGCTTTTTTTGATGATTAAAGTCACAGCTTTATTATAGTTTCTAAAGAATATGTAAATAATGCATACAACTACCGTACCTGGTATTGAAATTGAAAATTAATATCTGTGAATTGCTGCACAACATGTCCTTTTGCTGATCTAATGCAGTAAAGATCTTTTATGATAGATGCCTAAAATATGATGTTGGGAATGTTGCCATTCAGATTGTATTGTTGAGATTTTAGATTTTATACTCTTCTGAATCATTTAGGATTAAGGAGGTACTGATGCTGAGACTTAGTTGGATTCCTGAAATTCTTACAGCATTTCTCACAGCTGAGGCTTGTACAGTATGCTAATAACAAGGCATTAAAATCAATGCCATGTATATAATTACTACCTTAGCAGCTAAAGAAGTTTGAAGACCTTAGTTTTTCCCTTGGTAATCTGTACCCTTTAATACATCATAGAGATTCTAACTTGATGTGCAATCTTACAATCACTATATAAACACTGTGTTTTTATATTTCCGAAATCCTTGTACTGGAAAATAACATGGCATGACTTTCTCCATCTGTCACTAGTTAAAAAACAGAGATCAGGACTGAGTGCAGTCAGCTGCTCTTTTATAGATCATTCAAAAGTGCCTTAATTGGGCCTAGAGGCTATCAGATCACGCTACCCTTATAATTTATGTGAATGTGTTCATGTGGCAACTGTGTATCTACAGCATAATAGTCACACAGTAAGAACACAATAATTGTTATAAGGGATCTATTACGAGCCTATAGAATACTACGGCTTCTCTACATTAAGGGTTTTGGCTTTACACAGTTAAAAACAGATTGTTACTTTGTTTCCAAATTAAGTCATGGCACAGTAAGCTGATGCATAACCAAATGTATGTGCAGGCAGAACCAGGTGTTTTTTTTCTCTGAGTGCTGAGATGTCTCATGGTTTTACACTGGATCTTTAGTCTTTGAATGATTCACCAGCCTGTCCAGTCATGCTTTGGAGATCAGGTTTCGACAGTATTGCAACAAAATGTGCTTTGTTATCTCTTCATCATCATGGAAATTGTTGATTTCCCTTTGTACATTATCTTTTCCCATATACTGAAAACAGGCGCAGTCTCCTGAGATGCAATCATGCTTTTCAAACTCTATTACTGTTGAGTTTGTAGGCTGCTAAGTTGTCCTAAGCATTTGGTCACCCCATTACAACTAAATAGAAAAAAGGCCATGCTTTCAGCTAGAGGCAGATACTGTTTGCCTGATTTTGCCCAAGGACTTATTAAAGTATTCAAATATTGTAGCATTAATGATGGCTTAAAGTGAATGTAAACCCCAAATTCTGTGAATATTATGAAAGGTTGTACAAAAAAATCAGTTTTTAAAACATATTTATGCTGCTGTTGCCGAAAAAGCCATGGGAAGGACTCCTGACTTAATGTCCAGAAGAAAGGCATGACTCACACCACAAGCTAGTGTTAACAGAGTGTTGTATCATATGCTGTAGCATTTTAAAGGAAAACTGGGGGAAAGAAAAAAGTGTTGTAATAAAAGGAAAAGAAGTAGCAAGGATAACTGCAGCATCAAGGAGATTTTAAAGCACATTAGATACAAGACATTGGGGAGATCCGCAAGTTACTGACTGCAGCAGGAGCTTCAACAGTTACTGGACAGCAACATTTAAAGGACATGGGCTACAACTTTTCCAATGCTTGTGTTAAACCTCTCCTGAACCTAAGAAAGATCAGAAACATCTTAGTAAGTAGGAAAAAGGACTGGACTGACTGGTCCAAAGTCCTATTTTCAGATAAAACACATTTGGATCTTATTAAGGAATTCAAGGTCTAAGATTCTGGCGGCAGAGTGGAGAGAAACCGAAATCAACCTACTTAAGGTCCCGTATTTTGGGGAATTGTGGGAACTTTATGCTTTCCTCTCCTAACATACCAGGAAGGTTACCATAGTACTTATATGCTGTATTCATAATCCCAATTATCTGAAGTTCTTGGTCCAACAATCGCCTACACTCCATTTATTTTAGCAGTAAATACACTTTAAGAAAAAAAAAAATCTCTGACAAGACAGTAAAGTTGTCAGCAGTTATTTTCAGTTTTTGATACACTAGATTTTATTGATTGAAATAAAAAGAAAAAAAAGCCTGCAAATAGCTGAGCCTACTATTAAACTTCTTTTCACATAGCATCTGCCTTTTTCTACTCTTCAAAAATAATCTTGACCCTGCATTCGTGGTTAGTTTTTATGTATTCACAATGCTAATTTCCACAAATATTATTATGCAGCACATCTCTCAATTTAAATGACTCTGCTCCTATCCCCTCGTGGCTCGGGGACCATCGCACTGTCACCATGGAGACAGCAGGACCCTGCTTTGACACTGGCGAAACAGAGCTCAGTAACTCCGCAATTACATCCAAAACTTCTATTCGGTATCTGTAATGTTCCTTGAATAGAAGTGTTTATCTGGTCGTGCTCCAGTGAAGCCAATCATTGTTTTAAAACCAGTTCCAGGGTGACCTGCGGGTCTCACCTGTCACTCCAAAAGCTTGACACATCCGCAACCCTTCCCTTTCCGAAGCTGGAAAAGAAAAAAAAGTTCACTCCAGGGATGATGAAATCTCCTGTTGCCATTTCTCATTGGCTCCTGGCTGCTGTGACAGAGGAGCTCATCCTCACTGCTGGAAGATGCAATAACAAATCACAACATGTTAGTGCATCTGACACTGTCAGCACTTTTGACTTGCATACACATGCATGAGTAAATCTTCACGGCTCTATTGTTGTTGGTGCATCCCGTGGCTGATCAACTTGGACCTTATCTCTTCATCTACACTCGCGTGTTTTTCAACATCAACTTTCAACATTTGGTCATTTAAACAGAAAAAATAGGAGTTTAAACCAGATATTAGAAATTCTTATCTCACTATCTGATATACATATATATATATATATATATATATATATATATATATATATATATATATATATATATATATATATATATATATATATATATATATATATATATATATATATATATATATATATATATTTAACAAATAATTCAGCCTTATTATAGACAGTGAGACTTTTTATGTAGTCTTTTTGAATAGAAATGATTTAGACTCATTAATAGCCCTCCTTGCATCCTTATAAACAGGAATATAAGATTATTAAAAATGTATGGATCAAAATAGTGTCTGTCACTTGGAAGTTTTTAAAGACGTATGAGTCTTTTGCTTTAATTATCCTCATTCACGACACTTCAAGTTCAGAATGGCTCTGTTAGAGTCCCACACCCTTTGGCATACAAGCACAGCGCCTACGTCTGTGACCCCATTTACTGAGGCTGTTGAGACAGGTGCCTGATCGTGTGCTGGAAAAGGCCAAAGTTCACATCTGTGTGCTGAGAAGGAAAGTGTGCAGCTCTGGAAGAACTCTTCTCCTCTCACTCTGTGTTGACATGTTAATTAATGGCAATGTCAGCCTGGGCGCAGCTCATTTACTTGAAGTGCGTCTCTTGATGTCTGTCGAAAATTCTTCACACCGCCCTTCTTATCAGTTTCATTCAAAAGCTAAGTGGCCCTCGCCCTGTCCATTTAGCAAGATTTAGACAACACAGTTGCATCTACACACACACACACACCCTGAGCTGATTGTTGATGGTCCTCATCAGACGCTCTGGGGAAATGATAGGAGACTCTTCAGTACTTGCCCAAATATTGCCCTTTGTCAACCATGATTCTTCTGTAGTGTGTGGGCATTGGAATGGGGACCAGGGGTCAGTCTTGCTCTGTTTATTCCTGATGGGACTCACTATATCCTTTTGACTGGAATAAGAAATACATCCACCACCTTTG